TTGCATGTTATCTAAAAGCCATGATGAAATAGAGTGATGAATCCATTTCAGAACATGCTGTTCTTGTTGATTTATTTATTTTTTTTCCGGTTTATCTCGTAATTTTAAATAAACGGAGAAATATAAGAAGAAACGAAACATTGATCACTAGACGATCAACTAGTTTTATTGGTTTCACATTAGAATCTGTAAGCAAGTTGTGCAGTTTAGTAGTATGATTTGATATGGATTTGATTGTTAGATAATTGTCTCAGACTCGAGGTTTTTTGAAATGGGTTATGAGATTATACAGTTGGTTAATTTTGCAGATGTTAATTGGAAATCCATCTTCACTTCTTTACTTTTTCTTGTTTTTCTATGAGAAAACTGAACTGCAATTGTAATTCTACTTCTCTTCGTTGTAGATGGTCTCAAAATGTGATAGAGCTCAGGAAAGCGAATTGCAGTCAATAGAAAATGAGACCGTAATTTGCCCTAAAGAACCAGATAAGGACTCCAAAGACCCGATACCAGTACCCGTCATCTCTAAGAAGAAGACTACTGATGAGTACAACTGGCGTAAGTACGGCCAGAAGCACGTAAAGAACCCGGAAGGTTCTAGAAGCTACTACAGATGCACGTTCTCCAACTGTAGTGCGAAAAAGATCGAGTGTTTTGATCGTTGTAATTGTGTTACAGATGTAGTTTACAGAAGTCACCACAATCACGATCCTCCGAAGAATGTAAACTGTGGCACAGAGTTTAGGCCTGCACCAAAACAGATAATTAATCAGATAGTTGAAACAAAACAGCCCGACTCACCTGATTCTAAAATTGAGGAAACTGATTGTTCTAAAGATGAGAAAAGGCAAGTGTTTTACAATTTTTTTCCAGTAGGCAGTAATTAATAGATGTACCTGCTAACTGTTTCACTTCTATGAATTGCTTGCCAGGCAAAAGAGAAATTCGGGAAGTGAAGTGGGTTCTCTTCCTGAAAATGGAAAGAGGCGAAAGTTCGTTGTTTGTGAGGCGATTGATGATGTCAGCACACCCGGTGATGGATACAGATGGCGAAAGTATGGCCAGAAAACGGTGAAAGGCACGCCCCATCCTAGGTAAACACCCGAGTTTTTATTATTATTTTTTTTTTTTATTTTGTAACATTTTAACATGTTTGACTGATGTTCAGGAACTACTACAAATGCACGTCGGCTGGTTGTCCTGTACGAAAGCACATAGAGAAGGCTACAAATAACACGAGTTCTGTAATAATAACGTACAAGGGAGTGCACGACCATGAATTACCCGTGCCCAAAAAGCGTCATGGCCCAAAGAGTCCACCTTTTTCGTCTGCTGCTGCTC